AAATCACACTCCCTATGATTACAGCTACTTAAAAGATAAAACAATATAAATCAGAGAGTTGTCATATGGGGAAAAATTTCACAAGGACTTTAGTTTTTCAGTCAAAAGTCCAGGTACACAAATGTATTGATCCTCTAGTTGATTTCAACAGCTAAAAACTTATAATAGAATCATACAGTATTTGTAAATTCTGTCTCCCTAAACTAAAATTATAATTTTTTTAACATAAACATGTATTTTTTTGTACACTTTAATAATTAGTTTTGTTGCTCAAAACAAAGTTTTTTTTTTCTTAGATGAAAGACCTAAAAAGGCCTATTAATTAGCATGGCTTCCAACTCACCCCATATAATATGACAGTCTGCACACTACTTGCATTCTGTCACAAATGACAGTACATTTACATAATGAATTTACATAATGAATTGTATCTTTGGTCCAGTTTCCAATACCTATGTTTTTGCAGTCAAGAATTTAAAATATGTGCCCATGTAGAAAATGACTTTAAATATTATAATATAGATATTTTGAAATGACCTAAATGTATTTATATAAATTATATAAACAAAAACAACAGTTATATAAATAAAAAAAAATCCTGAAAATAATTGACTAGTGTAAAAAGTATAAGAACATTTGAATAAAATATTCAATGGAAAGTCCCTTCAAAAATACGAAAATGAACTTGTGGGTGTGTTGTATGTATGTATGTTTACAGATATTTTTCTCCTTTCCTCTACAGCACATGAACATGTTTGCAATGCCGGTCTTTCCTGTTGGCTCGTCTTGACTTCCATGCTTGCCAATTCCTAGGACCTCATAAAAATTGTAGGCCTGCGACAGACAGAATTTGGATGCTGACATCAATAAAATGGCTCTTGTCGGACTAGACCTATAAAAAAGTTAATATAATTTTTTTCCAGAGGTTATGGGCTGTGTATCAATGGACAATCCAACTTACAATTCCATGCATCCACTTTACTAACTTTCTATGAGATCAGTGAATCTGTATGTGGACTAGCTGGCCAAATGCCTTGCATCTTAGTTATCAGTGTTAGGAGTTGTCGGTGGAGGGACTATAAAGTTGGCTGTGATAAAACAGGCCTGGTTTTGTGCATTTAGAAAAATCACTATTTTTGAACGTAAACTCAACTACGATTGAAATAAACATCCGTTAGAAGCAGTAGAGAGAATAGAGAGGAGGAAATGATGGAAGAGGAAAAGAGAATTAGAGGGAAAAATAGAGTTGGGGGTTGGAAGGAGAGATTGAGAGAGAGAGAGAGAGAGAGAGAGAGAGAGAGTACCGAGTAAAGAGGTCAGTGTGAGATTATAAAACAAAGCCAGACCTAAAGCCTGGCCTATTTCTGACAGCAGCCTTTTCTCCACTCAGACCTAGAAATTACAGATTTAAGAGAGTCACTGCTTTTCGAAGGAGATGACAGTAGTCATACGTTTCAGCTCTGTAAAATGCACAAATACCATTATAGCTTTTAATGTAATTATTTCATTCAGTTGAATCAGTGTTATTTTAGTATCATTATACATATTCATTATAGATATTATCATTTTGAATTAGTTTTTATTTTGTATTTTCTGTTTTAATTTAAATCTTAAAATAGTGATTTTGCTGTGTTTTTTTTTGTCATTTTATTATTATTTTTAATGTGTATGTAGTTTTTATTCAATTTTATGTCCGTTTTCGTTTTAGTTAGTTTAGTACATCCACTTAAACTAAATGAAAATGTACATTTAAAACCAAATATATCCATTTAAATAGTTTTCTTATTTTTCTCTGAATACTTTTTACATTAACATAAAATATTTAATGTAATAACAATATCCTATTGATTAACATAAATGATCAATTCAAACCAACTTTCATCCTATTTTAAGGAAACATGACACTATTTTTCACCAGTCCTTGGTGTGAGATGTTCATGCACTGACAAACATTACAAGCAGATGTCTCTGAAGTGATCTGAATGAAGGTCCCTGCTGTAGGTGTTTCATCTCAATGGGGTGAAATACACATTGTTGACAGTCTTGCCCTGAGCCAATGCTGTAGAGTTTCTTATCCACCCTTTTCAGGGCCTCCGTGGCCCCCCCGCCCCATTCCCTTACACACACAGCATGTGTACAAACTACAGACAGCGAGAGGTAAAGGGCCAAGTCTCGTCTCTTCAGCCGTTAACACTGGAGTACTCCTGACAGCACTTCACAAAAACCCTACAATACACTCTTTCCTCGCAAACGGGAGTCTTCATGTTAAAACAAACAGCAGCGTAAGCCTAATGAGAGAAATAGTGTCTGTTTGCCTGTGTGATTAAAACTCACAAACACAGACCACTTACAGACAAGAATCTCATAGGAATGAAAAATATAAATGAGATCTCTTTAAATTCTCAATTGTTTCCCCTAGACAGCAATGAGAATAAAAGGAGATGTCTGCATAAATCTCTCCCTTCTCATATTTTTCGTCTCAGAAAAAGACTCAATCTCTATGGAAGCCTGTTTCAGACTCAGAGTAAATACTAAAACAAGTATTTGTATGAACTTTAAATTAGGGAAAAAACTCATTATGAGATATAAAGTCACAATTGCAAGAAATGAAGTTGCAATTAGGAGAAAGTTACATTGTGAGATGTAAAACCACAATTATGAGAAAGTATGCTGCATTTGTGCGATATAAAGATGCAAATGTAAGATATGGAAACCCATTTCCACCACAGGATAAAACAAATAAAAAAGGTCAAATGCTGCAGCTTTTTTCTCGCAAGAATGAGCTTATATCTCACAATTCTGTCTTTTTTTCTCACAATTCTGAATTGTCTTGATATCAATTCACAATTCTAAGTAAAAAGTCTGAATTGCGAGAAAAGTCACGATTACCTTTTTTATTTTTATTCTGTGACAGAAACAAAAAAAAAAAACAGAATATGTAAATTCAGATTTCAGAGAAAAAAAAAATCAAATTGCAAGATGTAAAGTTGCAAGATGTAACCTCGGAATTGCAAGGAAAAAGTTAGAATTCTGAGTCTCCTAATTTAGATTTTTTTTTTTTTTTTTAAAGTCAATTTATTTATTTTTTTTTTTAATTTTAAAATAAAGTTGAAATTACATAAAAGTAAACTTACGATGATGAGGAAATCTCATAAATCTGCAATTATGAGAGTAAAGTCACAAATGTGAGACATAAAATCATAATTACAAGTAAAGTCAAGACACCAAAGTCTGTAATCAAAAAAGTACCAGATATGAACTTAATTCTCTCAATTAATTTGTTCAAGGCCAATTTATCTGCACTATGCTATCTACAGTAATTTTACAGCTCTATTTTTGTACCATATGTCATTCTTGTCTATATATTTTTCTTCTAAGGGAGAACTATATATTCATTCACAGATTTCTCTGAAAAACCTTCACATATTCAGAGCGATTCTAGTGTGTGCTAAGACACACTCGAGGACACATTCTCAATGGAATGTTGAGGGAGAGAAGTCTGGGAAAAGTAAAGGAAGCACTCTCAGCGGAGTAACCAATCCCTCTCTCCTTTCAACCGACAGGCAGAGAGATAACCACAGTGGCAAGTAAGGGTGATCTGTTTTGAGACACATGGATGCATGCGGTGTCAGAACCAAAGCCTGCCGTGAATAATGAGATTTAACTCAATTAGAAATGTCATGAGGTGCCGAGAGAGCAGAGGAGAGATAATTACTACCGTGCCTTACAAGCTCAGTTATACATTTTTAACTTTCTGGTATTGTTCATTTGGGGGTCACACTTGTGTTGTTTGCAGTCAAAAGTGACCCAACACCTGAAATGTAACCTTTTTTTATTTTCAGTAAAATCAATGTAATATATTTTTATTCAATAATATTTTTTCTTTTTTCTTTTGTATTTTGAGAGAATTTCATGATACTAATTAATATGTATGATAGGTAACAATGCCTTTAAAATCCAATTTTTTAAGGCAGATTAGTGCCATCTGGTGGCATCTGCAATTCCACGGTTTAGTCTCTAGTTGTTTTTAGACATAAATAGTTGTGGATTTGGATATACATTTAGACATTCTCAAAGACAACTTTTTATACAAGTTTAGATTTTTTTGTTTGAAATGTTGGTTTGAAATGTCAGTTTAATTTAAAATTTTTAATTTTTAATTGAAAAAAATTTTCATTTCATTTTAAAGGCGCAATATGTAATTTTTGCCGCTAGAGGGCGCGTATTCAAAATAAACAAAGAGGCAAAGGCCTAGTTTGATGACGCCGTGACTGAGTGTGGAATCATGGGAGTTGTCGTCTTCATCCCCACAGCCTGTTCTAGTGGTTTTTGGATATTTTAATTTAAAAAATCTTACAGATTGTGCCTTTAATTTTTCAAATTAAAATGTCATTAATTTTTACTACAGTCAAACCGGAACACATAGAAAGACATTTTGTTACACATAACATCCACATTCAACAAAAATGAACAGGAATGCTTTATCAGACGTTTATATGATTTCAACCTCTTATTTGAGGCTTCTGGCTGAATTTTGCCATATTGTTACAGCCACATCAGTTAATTTGAGTGTGTTTAACAGTGTGTCTGTGTTTTATGTTTTTTACTGCATTGTGGCTGAATTATTTATTTTATTTCAAGCATTGCATCTGTCACATTGCAACTTTTTTTTGGTCACATTGCGACTGCCATAAAAGCCATCAAGTTTCGTATCATTCCGATGAAGTAGCGATTTTTAAAATTTCAAAACATTTTTTTTCGGTCTAAAATTACCGAACAACACCAGAGGGTTAAATGATATGAAAACAAGCAAGATGTTTTCCACTCAGCGACTACAATCACGCTAACGTTATTTCCCCAACAATTTAAATTCTTGCATGGATTCTGTGGCTCATATACAGTGACGGCTAATTTAAAACACCAGCAAGGTAAGGTACACTGACCTCTGTGTTTGGAAGTTTTCGTTTTTCGTTTTGTTAGTCAGAGTACTGTAGTGTAGTGCTAATTCCCTGAGCACGCCGTTCCTTTGCACGTGCTGCTGTAGCCTACTCAAGCATGCGATGGTCAAAGCAAGGTATTTTCATATAAAGCCTTACAGTTAGTTACAATAACTCTAGCCTACTTGTGATTACAACTGAAATGTTCGTAATATCTAATATTTTGGATGTTTAATAGTGTTACTACACAGAAAAGCAGACCCATAGCATTACAGTAGATGTGAGAACCTTGCTTTGGAGAGTATTGCAAAACACTACAACAAAGCTGCTGGTGAGTACAACATGTCTATGTATTGATTTGTGAATCTCAACAATAGCCTTTAAAATGTCTATAAAGATATCACATAATACTGTCATGATGCTTTAGAAAGAGCAGCCAATCAAAAGCAAGAAAGGAAGCAAGTTAGTTAAGCAGTTCTAAAACAATATCTGAAGCTGGACTTTGTGTCGCACGCACCTTGAGTGTGTTGTCTCTATTGTAAAGAGCCCGGACACTTAATGTGGACATTCAAAACCAATTCTGTCTCTCCTTAGTAGCCTCCTCGCCTGAACACTCACCATTACCGTATCTCACTGGCCGTTACATAGAGAAACCAAAGACTGTGGATGATTCCACTGGGATGATTTGGTGAGAAGCCATAATTATATTAGATTAGGACCCTGCAGCAGACAGCTCATCTTCGACCACCTCGGCACCACAGGTTAGACAGAGGAGATAAAAAGATTAAGTGCAAAGAGGAGGCAGAGGTGCAAAGTCATCAAATCAAATCTCAGCCTTTTAGCCGTTTGGCTGGCCAAGATCCGCTGCTGACAGGATTTTTTTTTCTGCACGGCCAGAGGTCTTGGATTCTGTCTACATGCTGACTCCACATATGATCCCTATTAGGGCCTTGCGGGACCCTGCGCCCCTCACTGTCTAACAGGGCAGGTTTGCACTGACTGAGGGCGATGTAAGAGTTAACAGGTGGCGGCAGTGTTTAGATGCACACATATCTATCTGGGAAATGACCAAGGTGAGTATAAATTAGTCAAGGTCATCGCTTTTGTGCTTTGATTTATATGTCAAATTCGATCAGTATTATTGATGATCAGCATCTGCAAATTTAAGCATGTTTTGCAGTGGATCTTGGTGATGAGTTCCATTTGAATTCAATTTGTATTCCGAGTTGCCAGTAGGAGCTTTTAACTGGAACGCCTCCTCAAGTCAAACCCACAACAACTCGACTTCAGAATCCAAAATGGCTGTTCAGCACATCAATAGTAGTGAAAAAGTAGTAATATACACAGTATTGTTTAGTGACACTTTTGTTTGTCTCTGTCTAAATAAACTCTGTGGTGCACACAGTACTATCTAAGTCAACATGATACTTCGGCATTATTATTTTGGCAATATTTTATGTGTTTTTATCAACTGATATTGGTAACAATGGTTTTCTGATTGGCTGTCATTGTTTTCATTGTTTATCAGCTGGGGAAAAAATTGTTTTGGAAGTGATTCCAATGATATTCCTCTGTGTCATTATCGTTATAGTTGGGGTGAGGACTCTGCTCATTTTTTTTTTTTTTTAAACGATTTAAAAACTATATCTTAATCATTATAGCTATTATGCTTGGTGTGAACAGGCCTTGAATGAAATGAAAGATTAAGGGAGATGAGGATGAAATAAAGGATCTCTAAAATAACTTTTTTTACTACTTGTTGGAATTATGTCATGTATGTTAGATGATGTCACACTGCAAACCTGGGTTATATAAAACCAACATCTGCGTGCTCTCTTCTGATATAACTAAATTGATTACTAGTAAACAGCAAAGACGTCAACAGGGACAACAGCAGCGATTATCCAGGTTAAATCTTTATCTAAACTAACTCCAATTGACCAGTGTCCTCATGTCTCTACTCAGGCAGGGACGTTTAAGGTTCTGTATGCCATGAATAAGAGCGTAAAGTTCTGAAATGTCTATGATTAAAGACTGAACTTAATTAAATCGCACATTTAGTAATCAATTCAAGTATTTATCAAATACATTTTGAATATTTGAATGTGTCACCAGGAATAATGTCTACATTTTCCCCCGGCTCCGGAAGCCCTCTTTCAGGCAGACCCATAGTAGAATCAATTCACACAGTGGGGAGCTTGAAACCGTCCACTCGTGCTTCTGAGCTTAGTTTAAAAAAATAAGTCTTGAACACAGTTTGGATTTCAAAGTTGTACGCTGTGGTTTGCGAGAGAAGGTTGCGACGTTCTTGCAGCATTTCAGTCGTTCGCTATTTCACACGACCTCCATATTAACACCGTTAATAGATGTCGTGCATGATGAAAAGAGTTTATTAGACTGAGTTGACGCTGTTCTTGAATCACGTATCGCACGTTGCCAGCGAGATAACATCTTTCTATGTGCTTATGCAGCTGGTGTTTGGCAGAGTTAAGTTATGGTTGACATTACGTGACATCGGTCATCCTCGGCTGGACGGGTGTCTATTATTTGCATTCAAAGCCATGTTCAGAATGTTATTAAAATATACTCATCGGGTATAATAATTGATATGCTAAAAAAATGTTGTGGACCACTTATATAAAACCTCAGCCATGAAAACGTAGATTTTATCCCAAAGTCAGGGGTCTTCAACCTATTTCAGGCCAAGGACATACAGACAGAGATCCTGTTACGTAAAATCTAGTGTTGCATTTTAAAACTAGCATGCTTTATCCTATGGTTCTCAGTTCCAGTCCTCGCGTACCACTGCACATTTTGTATGCATCTCTTCTCACTTCAGACGTTTCTATTCGACCGTGAGTGCCCTGCGAAGTGGACATCACAGGATATTCCGCCATGATTCCAGTTCGAAGAGATCGTATATGTTCCATTCAAGGGGCATTAAATTGTGCGAGACGTGAATTTAAATTGCATTTATTTACGGAGGTATAGTATATCACACTTCACCAGTGTGTAACGCATTACAAGTAACGCGACTTACGTAATCAGATTACTTTTTTCAAGTAACTAGTAAAGTAACGCATTACTTTTTAATTTACAAGAGAATATCTTATTTACTTTTTCAAATAAGTAACGCAAGTTACTTTTTTTATTTTTTATTTATTGATTGACAGCTCTCCTGTCCTCGTGTTGAGAGAAATCAGAAGATGTTAATGTAGTTCTAAAATAAATATGAATATGCATTAATTAATCTCTCACAAAAAAAAAACAGATTCAGTATTCCTCAAAATGAATAAAAATAATGCAACTCAGAATATGACGCAAACCTGCAATAATTAAATGTTAAACAACACAAATATGCTTTATGTATTTAATCCCATTCTATTAACCAATGTCTTTGCTTCTGACCTTCGATGATCAAGTTCAACCGTACTAATAAGCACAAATTACTCCAGACAAACATTTGTGTCTATTTTTTTATTGCTGAAGTGTGTTGAAATTTCTTCTTCTGCATTCTACTGTACGGACATAAATTTACTTTCCCTTCAGCCTGAGGCTTATTCATTTCACTTTTGGTGTGAAAAGGCTTTTATATTTGCCAAAAATATAACTCTTTTTATTTTAAAAACAAACAAGCAAGCCCTGTCCAGATTTAAAAAGTAATGCAAAAGTAACGTAATGCATTACTTTCCATAAAAAGTAACTAAGTAACGTAATTAGTTACTTTTTTATGGAGTAATGCAATATTGTAACGCGTTACTTTTAAAAGTAACTTTCCCCAACACTGCACTTAACACACACACTTCTCTAGTAAGTTTCGTCTGTGTGAGCTCTCTTCTAATGAGCTGATGCTTTGGATCGGGTGTGTTTAATAAGAGAGACATGCAAAATATGCAGAGCGGTGGTACGCGAGGACTGGAATTGAGAACCAATCTTGCTTGGATCTAGTGTGCGAATTTATGCTGCGTTCACGCCATATCGTATTTACCGTAATTTCGAGGTGACAGCACGTGACGTTCAGCCTGCGGTGGTCACGTGGTACAAGTCGTAGCTCTTAAAAACTCCCAGTTCACAAGTTTCACAAACTCGCTTTTTATAAGTTGGAATCTCGTAATTACGGGAATTCCGATATGGCGTGAACACACCTTTATTCAGTGACTTTCAGGGAGCAACTTTTTAAAATAATATTGTAATATTTAAAGGATATATTTGTTATGTGTACATTTATAAAGAAAAAAAGTGGTAAATTACAGTATTTTTCTCAGCTCAGATACAGACAGCGATCGAGCAGTTATTGCTATGGTTACCTTTTACGTACGCAGCAGGCTAACGTTAGGCGATTTCTTTGCGAGCGGATACATTTAGCGGATACAAGGGAGATCTCCCCCTCCCCTATCTGTTTTTAATGCATCACATCGGTAACTGCAAAAGGTAAATACTCCAAATGTGTGACGAAATGGTGCTAACGTTACCGGATTAAACCGTGCATCAGCTAAAGTGTGCAAAAGCAGACCGAACGTGCGAACCAACTCTATCAAGCGATAAACTGCACAAGTCGCTTGATTTGACTTGGAATTTTGTGTTATACATAAACTGTTGCTGTTATTACTTATATTAAATTTTGGGGAATATAAATCACTTTCATAGAGGTTGTTTTCATAATTTATGCATGTGTTTACACTATTTTTTAAAGGGGTCATATGATGCGATTTCAAGTTTTCCTTTCTCTTTGGAGTGTTACAGGCTGATTGTGCATAGATAAGATCCCTGAAGTTGCAAAGACTAAAGTTTCAAATCCAAAGAGTTATTCTTTATCAAAGTGAAGACTCTGCCACGCCCCCTAAAACGGCTTTCTAACACGCCCCCACATATCTACCTCACTATGTGGAAATATTTGCATAATACGCCCAAATGTGCAAGCAAAGAAAGAAGGCGTGGTTTCAGTAACCATCACAGTAGAGTCAGCTGTCTTAACCGCGCTTGTGTACTGCATCATTACTGTGTCTGTTCCCCTTTCGGGCTTGAACTGATGGTAAAACTAATGACATTATTTACTGTCTTTACATTTATTTTGAAAGATGAAGCTCGCGATTATGGTAAGGGGCGTTACATTTCCGACGAGTGCTTGCGGTGTTCGGCCAATCACAATGCACTGGGTCAGCTGGCTAATCAGAGCAGACTGCGCTTGTCGGAAGGAGGGACTTTGTAGAAAACGAAGCGTTTGAGAGAGGCGGGGCATAGAGGACCTACAATAATGTACAGTATTTGAAAAATAATGTTTTTTGAACATTAAAGCATGTCAACATATTCTGTTACACCAAATACACAGACAACTGATGTAGGAGAGGTCTGAGCAGGACTGATGTAGCTTATATTTTTCTTTAGTAAACTAAGGGGTGACATTAACAGCTGTTTTTTTTTAATTATCATTATTTTTCCAGATGAGGACAAGAACCCAGCAGCAGCAAACCACTCGTTATGCCATTGCTGTCAGCCAAGAAAACAAAGCATCCTAGCGCCTCCTATGCATGGATGTGAAGACTAACACATTTAATGAACACTGTAATTTAAAATACAGGTAAACTGATGCATTTTACCCACCTTTATTTGCAACACGGAAGTAAGCTTTTTACTGTAAATGAGTTTTCCGATTCATTAGCCGATAAAAAAAGTGCAGTAAACGATAAAACTATTTGCACTAAACCAGTGTGTTTCTGATAATAAATTAAAATAATGTGATGACAACACTAGTTTGCAATATCAAGCAGCAGAAAGGACTGTGAAGAAACTACATATTTCAGTACTTTTTTTCAGTTATATTACTAATATCAGAGTATAATGATAAGTTGTGGCTTTTATATACTGTATTTATGACTTTATCAGATGTGACAACTGCCAATAACAACCTATAACATTACATTCGCATTGTGGCCTGAAACATCCTACCAGCCATTTCACACTAGCATTCATAATATGTTGCATCTTTCACATTAACTGCAGACAGTCTGAGCTTTCTTTGCCTTGACCAGTCAGTATATTCACGTGTTGAGCATTGTGATGCTGTCCCTTACACTCTATAGAAGGCAGCTGTGTGTCAAACCAGATCATGAATTCAGGGGCTGAGGTTTGTTGAACATGTCAGTGTGGATGTGTATGTGTCTGTGTACTGAAGAGTGCGTCATACTTTGCTGTGTGAGTCATCAGATATATCGTTAGGCTCGGGGAAGAGACGGCCCCTGCTCTCCATCCAATCAGAGTTCAGTATGAGCCAAAACAAGGCCTTGGGTTCTTACTCACACTCTTATGTGTCTCTCAGCATGTGTTTGTGTGTGACAAATCCACTGCCCGCTGATCACACATCTTACATCCTGCCACATGGTGAGGATTTGCCAGCCAGTCGCCCAAGGATTGGAATCTGTTTGCCCAGTATGCCAGTGTTGACATGACACCTCGTGATTTGATATGGATAAAGCCAGGAACCTGCAGAAATAAAGTGGTGCCCCTGTGTTTGTGGATTAAACAGTTATCACTAGGTAAACAAACCATTGAGTCTCCCCGTGGAAATGTAACGAGCCTCTGTCTGTAAACTATAACATGTGGAGACAGTGAGTAGGAATCACAAACCTTGCTCTAAGACAGCAGCAACAAACCTATCCATAACTATACAAACGTTTAACACATTATGATTTACAAAAGTTTCCATGTGTTCTGGTTTTCCTGAGACCCATCCAGCAAAAATGCACTGAAACCTGTGGATGAGGCAAAGCAAAGAAAGGCTCTGGCAGTTTCTGTAAACAAGCCTTTGATGCATGACTAATATTGCGACATCACAACAATAATTGTCTTTATTATTTCAAAAAAAAAAATAGCACATGTCTTGGCCCAGTATGCCAGTGTTGACATGACACCTCGTGATTTGATATGGATAAAGCCAGGAACCTGCAGAAATAAAGTGGTGCCCCTGTGTTTGTGGATTAAACAGTTATCACTAGGTAAACAAACCATTGAGTCTCACCGTGGAAATGTAACGAGCCAGTCTCTAAACTATAACATGTGGAGACAGTATTAAACACAAACCTTGCCCTAACACAGCAGCTACAAACCTATCCATAACAATACAAATGTTTAACACATTATGATTTTTAAAAAAGTTTCCATTTCTGCTGGTTTTCCTGAAACACATCCAGCAAAAATCTTGTGGATGAGGCAAAGCAAAGAGAGGCTCTGCCAGTTTCTGTAAACAAGCCTATGACGCATGACGGATGACTAATATTGTGACATCACAACAATAATTGTGTCTCTATTATAAAAAATATATATAAAATAGGTCATAAACTGTCTTGCCATGTAAAAAAACAACTATTCAACAAATTTATATTTTTCTAAATTAATCTGTGAAAGATTTCATCAAACTAAATACTCATGAATTAACACCGTTTATAACTAATAAATGAATATATATAAAAAATGTTGATATAGGACACCTGCACAAAAATCATGTCAATTTACTATACATCCACATCACTTCATTCAGTACTAAGGGCCTGTTCCGATACCCACACTTGCTGTCTTGGCCACTACAAAGTGCACAAGACTGTTCCAAATCTGAATAATGCCAAAGCTCAGTGCCTTTAACGCACACTAAATCTCTAGACTAAGAACATCCCATCATTCATTATGTTCAGAAATGAGAAATTTTGAAGAAAAATGTATTAGATATTACATATAATTACATATGCAAGTTAAATTAATTAGATATTACATATAATTTGGCAGTAAAACTATTTTATTGGTGCAGAGAGGAGTCGGTGTATTTTGTAAAATGTTAACTGCTTTTAACCACTTAATTAGAAGCACCACAATTAAATTGTTGTGCCATCATCTGTTACATAGAGACTGATAAACAGACATTTAGAAGCTTATTTTAAAGTGCAAAGTATAGAAAATCAAAATGTGGAAGTAAAGTTCTGTAAAACTTTACTTGCATTTTTACAACACAGTGTTATATGTATGTCTGATTGTGTAATCAAAAGTTCTACAAAGACTTGGGGTCTTCACACCCACTTGGGACAAATATAGGAAATACATCATGTAAGTAGACAAGTGGTCAAGTGCAAAGACCACAAGTATTGAGACTTGCCCTGGGTGCTCCCATTGCATTTGCAAGTAGAAGTCCGCCACCTAGTGGTGAAAAGTAATCATGGTAACACTTTTTATTACACTTCAAAATTATATGTAATATAATATTTACCTATTTATCGTTAAACCCTATGAAGAATTTTAAGTATTATAACATGAAATTATCATTATACTCTTTAATTATTTAGAAGAACATTCAACTGATTATAAGGTCTATTATAAGACTTTACAAATTAATTTCAGAATTTTTAATAGCTTTTTTAATGCATTATATATCCTGGCTTCTAAGAAAATGTTACTGCAAACACTCCTGACAAACAGCAGAGATTCTAAAGTTGTCAGAAATTAAACTCAAACTTTCATAAGATGTCAGTGTTTTTTATCAGGTGTGCACATTAAACAGTGCATTTACAGACAAGAAAATTATTATAGAACAAGTTCACAAAATTACATGTTCAGCAGTTCGACAAAACGATTGTGTGTCTCAGTTACAGAATATTCATTTAGTCCTGATAAAGTGATCAGAGGTTCATTAGTCCAGTGATTAGCAACGCTCCTCTCTTTAAATCACACACACATTGTAGTGAAGATCTATAAAAAAAAAAAAAAAAACTTTAAAATTAACCTAAATTACAGAAAATGTCCTTATTGGCATCACATGCATTAAGAAGTTTGAAGGAAATGCAGCACTTGCTGTCTTCAAAATGGCACATGTTCAAAGTTCACGTCAAACTTTGACATTACATCTCCTCCTCATCCTCCTCCAGCAGGATTCCAGGACAGGGTTCCATGGTTATAGCAACACCCATTCCACTGCGCCCAACAGGCATATCTGTTACATACGTCCATACATTACTGCCTGGACAGTAGCACTCCACACTAGACAAGAAACCCCCTTGATTAAATCCACCTGAAATGGAATAATATTTACATTTATGCATTTAGCAGACGCTTTCATCCAAAGCAACTTACAGTGCCTTCAAGGTATACATTTTATCAGTTGCATTCCCTTCCACCAATCCAGCTCACCTAACACATAAATCTTGCATTGGTAGACCGTGACTCCATGTGCACTGCGGCAATGGTTCATAGAGGCCATGGGTTCCCAAACGTCTCGAGTGACGTTATATTTCTCCATCGTTTTGAGCTGGGTTTGACCATCATAGCCACCAACTGCATAGAGGTAGTTATCCATACACACCACCCCTACAAACAGAACAAAAACCAGACATCTTAGCACATATCAACAAGTGTTTATTTCATTAATACAATAAATCTGAAGTATTTTCTTATTTATAAGTACATTCCAGTATGGTGCTCCCTGCCATACAATTAAAGTGAATGGTGACCAAGTATGTCAAGAATTTCAAAGGAACTTTTTCATAGTATAACTTACATTTCAATCTGTTTCACACACACAGCTGCCATATACCTTCAGAAAACTTGGAATAAACACTAAACATCAAAAAGAGCTCTCGTCCTTACCAAGGCTGCATTTATTTGATGCAGTAAAAAAATACAGTAAAAACAGTAATATTGTGGAATATTACAATTAAAAATAACTTTTCTAATTTAATATATTTTAAAATGTAATTTATTTGATGTCTTTAGTGTCACATGATCCTTCATAAATCATTCTAATATGCTGATTTGGTGCTCAAGAATTATTTCTTATTATTATCAATGTTGAAAACTGTTTTTGCTGTTTAATATTTTTGTGGAAACCATGATACACTGCCATTCAAATGTTTGTGGTAAGTAAGTTTTGGGGGGGGGGAAAATAAATTAATAATTTTATTCAAACAAGGATGCATTAAATTAATCTAAAACAAATACAAAATATTTCTGTTTCAAATAAATGCTGTTCTTTAGAATTATGGAAAAATATTAAGCAGCAAAATCCATTTTCAACTTTGGTAATAATAAAAACAATTTGAGTCCCAATAACAATTGACCACCAAATCAGCAAAGCGTTAAAAAAATCGTATTTATTCCAAACATATGACTATTAGTGTATGTGTGCACTACTTTTATGATGCTTATATTTGAGCTGGAAAGCTCCTGGTCCCCATCAATGCTTATTGTGTAGAAGAAAGCAGAATGAACTTTTTTTTAAAACTTCACCTGTTTTATTACATACAGGTGCATCTCAATAAATTAGAATGTCGTGGAAAAGTTCATTTATTTCAGTAATTCAACTCAAATTGTGAAACCTTTGAGTTGAATTAATGAAATGAACTTTTCCACGACATTCTAATTTATTGAAATGCACCTGTAGAAGAAAAAACCATACAGGTTTGGAACAACTTAAGGGTGAATTTTCATTCCTGCATGAATTATCCCTTTAAAGGCATAATGCACAACTGCTGAATTCTGCACGTATTTATGCTGAATTACTGATTGACTATGCCACTGTTTGAGCAATTACAGTTTGTTGTGTTAGCTGCAGGGTCAAGCAGCTCTGGGAAGTGGGCATTCCTAGAAGTGCAGTCACCTTCATGGGCATTTTTAAAAATAGTTTTATTAATCTTTTTTATTTATTAACTTATGAATGAAAAGACAATGTATTTTTATTTACTTAGAAAGTTTATGTTTGATTCAGGTTTATTACATTTATTTATTAAGTGGACACTTTTATTCCCAGAGACTTACAAAAGAGAAATACAAAAAGTGATGAATCTTTTGAAGGTAATAACACGAGAAGTGCTTACAGTACAAAGTTTGTCATTGTCTAGAATAGTACAGTATTATGTTTCAACTTTAATGGTGTTTTATGTTGTTGCAGGTTGTAACAACGCTGCAAAAATACCACTTGATTAGATGTGATGTGGTCTTTTGTTCTCTTATTTTTTAATATTGTTCCCTTTAGTCACTTTTATATAATTGCATTGCACCATTCATGCAGTACATCATATGCGGTAAACATGTGAAGTAAAAGAAAACAGTTCCAATTCAATAATTTGATAAATGATGCAGAATATTTACCGAGACCGCTCCGAACTGTGTTCATAGGTGCCACGTGCTGCCAGGTGTTCGTGTCTGGTTGATAGCGCTCAGCCGTGTTCCATCGGTTGTCCCCGTCGAATCCTCCAACCACATACAGACTTCCCCCACACGTGGCGACACCGGCCCCCAGCCGAGCTACTGACATAGGGGCCACAAATGTCCAGCGGTTTGTCTCTGGGTCATACCTGTGAAAACAAGAAGCAGGACAAACCAGTTGTCAAGGAATAAGATTTCCTAGAAACAGCAATGAGGATGTCAACACAAAATAGATTTCAATCTGTTTCTCTAAATGTCTCAGGCTCATCACTTCAAGAATTTGTTTTCCTTTGTTCCTAACAATGATATCTAGTGCCAAATACCAATCATAACTGCAAGCAATTCCCATGAGTGGATATATGACCAACTGAATGTCACAATTTAAAAAAAAAAAAAAGCCTTCAGCGAGAAGAGGTTGCATTTAACCTGCCAACAATGCAATATCTCCATTTAAAAGCTTGTGAAGACATCTACTGTTACTGACCCAAGAGTTTCTGTCTCCCAGCACAACAGAGGCACATACTGAGGCTTGAATTTCACACATCTTTGAAATTATAGATGATATACCGACGTTCACTGTTTGCATTTCTGGACAGATTAACTTTCCGATTTGAGCTGCTCACTCAGTCATAAATTAGAAATAAATATGATTCACATGGCTCTGTTATGAATCTGAACTTGAGCTCATCTACTAGAAAGCTTTTCAAAAACTCCACAGTAAAAATAAGACATAAGAGACAAAGTTAATGAGGTTTATGCCACTTACATATTTTGTTTGTGGCATAAATGAATCTGGCTTTTAGCATGTTTAGGATATATAAACACTACCTTTTAAAGGTTTGGGGTCAGAAATTAATATTTTTATTCAGCAAGGATGCATCAAATTGATCATAAAGTACATAGTGTTTATCCTGAACAAAATATCTATCCTGACATGTTGCTTGGGCAGCAAAATCAGAATATTAGAATGATTTCTTAAAGATCATGTGACACTGAAGAGTAATGGCTGCTGAAAATACAGCTTTCCATCACAGGAATAAATTACATATATATGAAAATAACTATTTTAAATAATAGTAATATTTCACAATATTACCGTTTTTACTGTACTTTTGATTAAATAAATGCAGCCTTAGTGAGCATAAGACACTTCTTTCAAAAACATTTCCAAATTTTTGAACGATGGTGTCCATACATATATGTATTTTTTATTGTTGTAAGTTCAGTGTCTTAATTTTGATTTCCAGCATTTAGTTATTCATGTAATTTTGCATTCTGTACAACACTTTTGAAGAAATGAAAATATCCACTAATTTGTAGCAAAGTCATTTCAACCCCTTTATAAACAAGACTAATTAAAAGATAATTCATTCATTTATCATTATTAGCAAGAGTATTAATTTAGTTAGTTCAGTAAATGCTTCCTTATGTAAGTGTTTTGATGTTCCAATAACCATTTCAAGGTAAATATAGCAACCACTGTAGTTCTCACAATACAATAGAGTCCTTCCTTTCAATTGTGGCATTTAGATGCACTGTCATACAGTACTTGACAAACAACACGGCACTTTTGTTTTGTGTTACTAATGAAACCCTATAAATACTGTAGAGTTCATGCAAGGTCTTCTTCCCTGATCTGTCACCATGCTTACTATTTAATAAATATAAAATATTCAAATCATGACACTTATTGTGGAGAAATGTGTTTCTCCTGAAAGGCCTAACCTGACTGTGCTGTGGAATGTACGTTATGAAACAGATTTGCCTGGAGCTTTTTAGTCAAGAGTGACTGCTCTGAAAAGAACTGAGCAAAATGATCTCTATACCCTGATAGAAGGTGCTTGTTTTAAATCAAAACAACCGATGAGTGACGTTTCACAAGTGTAGTGTGTAACATAACCTTTATGCATAATTTTTCAATTTTTAACTCGTACAAGAACGTTTTGTGTGAATGTTCTCCTGTCGGACAGGTGTGCAACGCAGTCTTCGGTGTCATACAAACTCCTTCAACCAAGATTTAATCTGTCACTCTGCACTGTGCTAATGTTTTGATTCCGCTAGCGTATGTATAATAGAAAGGAAATACAATATAAAGGGGAAAAACCCCACAGCGTAAAAGAAACAACACAAAACCTTTTTGAGTTTTCTTCCTGTCTCAGCCTCACCTCTCAACGCTGTTGTGATGTGTAGAGGCATGTGAACCCCCTACGGCATAAATGCTGCCGTCAATGACCCCAACACCCACTCGGTTTCTGGGCGTGTTGAGCGGAGCCAGCTGGGTCCACTGGTTAGTCATGGGGTTGTAGCAGGACAAAGATCCAGACTCTGTGTTGTTCTGCAGAGAGAGATTCCGTCCGCCGACCGTATAAAGGAGCCCGAACAACACGCATGCTCCAAGCCCGCTACAAGGAGATCCGATGTCAGCTAGCTTGATCCAGACATTCTTCCGTGGGTCGAAGGCTTCCAGACAGTCCAGAGAGTGTTGCTTGTAACCTCCCGCTATGTAGATGAGCTGAGTCCCACGATGAGGAGCAGGTGGCAGGGGTTTTCGAAGAGCCATGTCCTGGAATATCTTGGACAAGAAGTCCTTGCAGGAGTTGGCCTTGCTGAGGATGGGGCAGGACTGCAGTTGCCTTTTGAGGAATGTGGGCGGCAGGGCGTAGATATGGACCGCGTTGAGGAGGGCATGGAAGTACTGTGCTCGGCTCTCCGCATCCCAGCGGACCCAGTCGATGCAGGCCTTGTAGACCTCGGACTCGCAGAGCACCTTTAGACTGTCCTGACTGATCAGTTCCAGCAGCTGGCAATGGGACAAACTGAAGAATTCTTCCTCTTTGGTTACCTGTGACAAAGAAAAGTATACATGCATATATGGACATATGTAAATATGTTTTTGTATAATTACAAAATGTTAACCCCAAAATAAATGTCAGCATAAAAGTGCGTTCACATTAATTATTGATCGGACAGTTTTGGGGGGCAAAATTACATAATTTTAATAGGAATCCACAAGATTGGGAATTTTACATGAGGGTGAAAGATTTCCTAACATAGACTTCGCAATGGGTTTAAGTCTATCATGCAGATTCGCCACATTGACCAACACAAGGATATTTGGTTTGAAAGTGACTGTCACAACTTGTCGCAACTCCCCCCCAACATTCAATGCTAGATTTACAATGTTAATAACTAAGGAATCACAGTCTGCTAAAAGGGTACACTGCTTCCACTGCTTGGAGTCGTGTGGACCACTTTTACTTTGGTCCTTTTTGAGCTTGATAGTATGAATCACCATCCAATTTCCTTGTATGGAAAAGAGCAGCTTGAACATTCCATCTGACATCTCTTTTTTAGTTTAACCCTCAATCGGCCCTTGGGGTCAATATGACCCCAATCAACTTTTACTTAGTTTAAAAAAATGGTTCCCTTCATCTCAGTGGAATAAGATTTTGTGACTTTTAAACATTTTATATCTATATTCACATAAAAAAAACTGGGCTTGATTCGGTTGTTCTGAAGGTATGTACATTTTTTTTTTACAAATCTGTCCCTTGGGGTCAATATGACCCCACATTGAAATTAATGGGAAATGTGAAAAAATATTTATTTTTTTTTCAATTGTCAAAAAAAAATAAATAAATCCGGCATAAATCTGAAAATTTCCACACAGAAATGAAGGCCTGGTACTAGAGCACAAATGCAATGTATAAAAGACATGCTCACTCACACACACACACACACACACAAACAAACAAACACACGCAGGTATGACTGCCACAGAGAGCATTTGTATAGAATTTGGCAAAATAAAATCAGCCAAAAATGCAGAACAAAGATATAAAGGGGTGAGACCTAATGCACGCACACGGGCACAC